GCAGCCTAAACCCACGATGTGTAAAATGCGATGGAAAACACCACTACTCAAATTGCCCCAAAGAATCAACAACTCCACCCAAATGCCTAAACTGCAACGAACCCCACCCGGCCAACTATAGAGGATGTACATACTATAAAAATATTTAAAAAAAAATAAAACCAACAATTGCAAAGAAACCTCAGACAATAAACATACCTCCGATTACAACTGACACAACCAATATACAAACAAATCCAAACAATAAATCATATGCAGAAACAACCAAAACCGATATATTTAAAATCACGACAAAAAACACCAATGAAACACTCCAAGACCTCCTGAATGGTCATCTCCAAACGACAATTGCAGAATTTATCGAGAATATACTACAAAGCGTCCAAACAATCATTCAGAACATTTTCACGTCATTAACGAGCAAAATGACAACTAACCCATTCAAACCTTTAACAACCCAAAATGAACATAATTAATGTTAAGGATATCATATTAGTCAACTGGAATGGACTAAAATCCAAAAGGTCTACCTTAGCAGAATTTCCATCACGACACAAAATCGACATTGCTAGTATCACCGAAACACACCTAAAAGACTCTGAAACCTTCAAAATACCCGGTTACGAAATATATAGAAACGACAGGAAACACACACACTCTTCTGGAGGAGTAGCAATAATGATTAAAAAAAACCTAAAACACAACCCAATAATACTGCCGCCCACACTTCAGATGGAAACAGTAGCTATAAATCTTATAACAGATAAACGTGAATTACGAATTATATCAGCATACAACCCACCGAACAAGAGAATTCAAAACTCAGACTTTCCCAAGCTTTTCTGCAATACCCCCACCATACTCCTAGGAGATCTTAATTCCAAAAACATAATCTGGGGCTGTAAAAAAACAAACCCAAACGGACTAAAATTGTACGAGTACACGTCCGACTTAAACATCATGGTCTCCCCTCCACCGTGTCCAACCTTTTACCGAACAGGAGTTACCCCGGACATATTAGATATTGCACTAATCTCAAACTTCCATACAAACTTATACCACAAAGTGTTATACGAGCTCGACTCTGATCATGTCCCGGTATTAACAACCCTAAGAATACAAGCTGAAACTAACCCCCCCCTGTACCAAAACTAATAAATCGACCAATAAAATGGGAAATCTTTAAAGAAAATATAGATAAAATATTAAAACCAAACAGAAAGTACTCAAATACAAATGATATAAACTCGGGCATAATACACCTTACAAAATCCATCAAATCATCGATAGACTTAGCACTAGCCCCACCAAATTACAAAAAATCTCATAATTATAACACGCCAATACCATCCCACATACAAAACCTAATCAAAGAAAAACATAAGGCACGAAGAATCTGGCAAACACACCGGTCTCCAGCAGTCAAAAAACGTTTAAATCAACTAACAAGAAGAGTAAAATGGGAACTGAATAATCTAAGATATAATTTCTACAAAGCATACGTATCAAAAATAAATCCAAATGACTCAAGTCTTTGGATAGCTACCAAAAGAATCACTANAAAATTTACCACGTCGGCCTTTTTAGACATATCGCAGGCCTTCGATAAGGTTTGGCACCATGGGCTTATTTTAAAAATAAAATCCCAAAACCTACCTTTATACCTTAACAATACATTTTTGTCATTTATAGCAAATCGTAAATTTCATGTCAGAATAGGAACAGATATATCACAAATACATAATGTTAAGGCTGGAGTTCCACAGGGATCTGTGCTAGGACCATCTCTATTCAATATCTACTGTCACGATATACCAACACCGCAACACTGCCATCTAGCAATGTTCGCAGATGACACTGCAATAATAACGCAAAACCAAACTCTTGAATCTTCAATAAGAGACCTACAAAGCTCCCTAGATGAACTATCCCTCTGGTTCTCAAAATGGAAACTAACACTAAACCCAACCAAAAGCGAAGCAAACATATTTACACTCAGAAAATACATAAATACGACCCTACTTCAAATAAACAATAAAGAAATCATCTGGAGTAACAAAGACGACACAGTAAAATATTTGGGCCTGCACCTTGACGAAAAACTAAGCTGGAAAATACACATCAACAAAAAATTAAACCAAGGATACACTAGGCTACGAATACTGTACCCCCTATTAAATCATAGCTCTACCATACAAATGAAATGCTCTCTACTCCTTTACACAGCAATAATAAGACCTTTAGTAACCTATGCATGCCCAGTATGGGCATCTGCCTCCAAAACAAAAATTAAAAAATTACAAACCCTCCAAAACAAATTCCCAAGAATAGCTCTAAAGGCCCCTTGGTTCATGAGAAATAAACAATTGCACAACGATACAGGCATACCACACCTATCTACCTGGATAACATAGCAATTAAAAAATTTTCACGAAAAACTCCACAGAGTTGACGGAGCCCGTCACTACAATATCGGCAAGAGATCCACAAATCTAAGACTCAAACCTCGGCTACCTCAGGACATCCTACTAGATCCCAATGAAGACACCTCAACCTCAGACTCTGACCCAGACTAACCTAACCAAATCTACTATACATCACGTAATATAATAATAAAAACATTGTAAAAATACTTAGTGTATTGACACAATTATATTAATAAATAAAAAAAAAAAAAAATAATATTAATCTGATGAAATTTTAAATACTTACATCATTAGGTATATCAATAAAAATATTAAACATAAAATATTACCTGGAGCCTTGTCCNCTACTATACATCACATAATATAATAATAAAAACATTGTAAAAATACTTAGTGTATTGACACAATTATAATAATAAATAAAAAAAAAAATTCAAAAAATTGTTATTAAGGCGTTAGATAGATACTAAAGAAACACAAATGTACGATAAGAAACCAAATAAAAGACGGCAGTAGCTTAAGCTAGGTAAAAGCGTCTTACTTTAGAAGTAATTTAATATTACTCACAAGTCCGTTTCCACTTTCTAATCGGGACTAAAATGTTGGGAAAGAAAATCAGATTCTAAATCTGCACAAATTGCGGTTAGTCGGTTTACAAAAACTGCATGGGCTTAGGATAGACGTAGACAGGTGGTATTCGGACGTAAAACTCGATAAAAATCGTCCTAATTTGGAAGTAATTTAAAAATACTTAAAAGTCCGTCTCCACTTTTTATTCTGAACGTAAATATTGAGAAAGAAAATTATATTCTAGATCTGTACTCAAATTGCGGTTAGTCAGTTAGCACAAATGGCAGGGGTTAGGGTAGATGTAGACAGGTGGTATTCAAACGTAAATCGTAATATTGAATTGTTGTAATACTGACTCCTGCTAATATGATTTTAATTATCTAATGTCATGGAAATTATACATATTTATTAAAAATATTTGCATATTTAATGTATTATAAACATCTTTAATGCATTTACTCACTGAAGGATGACCTTAAGTTGAAACCCGATACTCCCTATTATTCTGCTGGTAAGAGTCACTTGTAAAAAAATCTTAGAACTGTTAATAACTAGAGCATTATAACTTATTAGTAAGTGACGTTAAGGAATGATTAAAGATCCAAATTGAATTATATATAAAATTTGTATTATACTGTATAAAATCTCTTGTAGAAAATAATATAAAAGGTACCACTTATAAAAAAAAACTAAAATTAAAATTAGAATTCATCACTGTAACGACTGAAAAAGTAATGTAAAAATATGTAAATATAAAGTATAAATAGCAAGAAAAATAATGTAAACATCAAAAATATAATTTGAGTGTAAAAATATATGATATATTAAATCATAATTAAATATATTGATATGGATCTCAATATATAATAAATTGATACAAATTGTTTTATTCTTATACTACTACTAATAAAGCTGATAATCTTATTAATAAATAATTCATGTTGTCAACATTTTTCAAATGCACTTTTCCTTAATTCTATAGTTTTGTCTAATTGAAAAAAAAAAATAGCTTTTTTTTCTTCAATATTTTAGAACTTATGATTTTTATAAAATTTAACTAGTTTAAGAAGATCAGTTTTGGCACGAACTAGAAAGTGTCCTTCTCAGATATACTGAGGTTATTATACTGATAAGGACGAGTTAATAACGTTATCAATCTAAGATACATGACATAAAGATACATGACACAAGATACATACATCAAAGGATGATTCCAGTCATAGTGGTAACCATAGATAATACATAATTATGTATTATCTGTTTAGTGGTAACCCACTAAACCAGAAACCGGGTAAGATACATTTTATTTCCTCTAATACAAATCGTTTTGAATATTTTTCTATTTTATTGATTTTAGATTCTGAGTGGAGCAAAGAAGCTTATAGTTTTATAAAGATGTTTATTTTATTTTCTAT